TAGATTGGATTTTGTTTTTATTCGTAATTGAATTTGATGCAACTAAATTTTTCTTGCTTTCACAGTCTGATTGAAAATGCTTAAACAGTATGTACATGGCTTATCAACGGGATTTTGACAATTCAGCATTTAGGTGGATTTAAGTGCTTTGGCGGCAGTTACAAATAAAGTCGTTTCCGAAATTAGTTCGAGGTGCCTGCATATGAGGAAGATGAAGTTACGTAGTTGCATTTATCTAGGCGATGAAGGAGTCTGCACAGTCTCAAAGCTTTCTAAACTTGAGCTACTCGATCTTAGTAATTGTATACTGGTACTTATACTTCACTGTTTGAATAATGTTTTCCAAGCTATGGGTCATGAGGCAGTTGTCCTCTAATAATTGTTTTTTCTTTTTTTTTACTTTTTTTGCTCAATTTCACTCATAACGGTATATCATCAAGATTTTGGTTTATATTCAGGTAACAAATTTGGCCGTACAGTCCTTGCTAGATAGCTTTCCTGCCTGTAAGGAAGTTATTCTGAAGGTACAAGTTTTCTCTGCGTATAGTATTTGTATAGAACCTATTTGGTCTTACGTAATAATGAATTTTTTCAATGATAAATCATCTTTAATATTACTTGTTTGTAAAGAATATTTTGGTTGATTCGAGCACATTGAATTTTTTACTGCTTCAGCCTTTTCTACCTCATCTTTCTTGGCAAAATAGGTGGATGAAAAATTACTTCTTCAAATTTACCTATTTCTTGTCGAAAAAGTTTAGAAACATTCCTTGTTGAATTTTATCACGGTTGTAATTGGCGGGACTATATGCCAAGTTAGCGGATTGCGGGCGGACAATAGTCGAGTTGTATTGGACTTCAGCGATTACAGTACACATCAGCAGTTACAACCTCAAAGTGAAAAAACAGGTCAATTTAATACAACAAATGCAGGTTTTTCAGCTACAAAAAATCTAGTACCAGCGATTTGACATTGTTTCTCAATTAGTAGTTTTTGTTTACTTACTTTCTTGAGAAAATACTTTTTTTGTTGGGAATGTCTTAATCAAGCAATAACTATCAGTGACCTATAGATGTCATCGACGTTGTGAACGACGATATGTCAGAGGATGAGTATGAAGCATTGAACGCTCACCGTAAGTATTACTTTTATATGCTACCCGTTCCAGGAAAAAATATTTTCTTTGTGGTGGTTTTCTTTTCCTTTTGAAGATTGATTATTTATTTGCTTAAATATGAAGCCTTCGTTGCTTACGTAATTCCCAAAATTTTGCTTTTCTTCAACCAAATAATGACGACTGGACTTCAATGACTTTGACGCAGCAACGTTTATAATGAAATTGTATTATTGTGATTTATGAAATTTTCTGACCCTCTTCAGGAGCTTTTGTTATTGGGACGCAAAAGGAAGAAGAGGATAGCTTTTCACCAGAAAACGATGAGTCTGTTAAGAAATGGGCTGAACGGGAAGCTTACAGTCTTGGACTTTTAAAATAGCTAGTGCAGCTATTTGTCTATACGTGGTACTAGCCGACAATTCCTTTCACTTTCGCAGTTTGAATGTAAATTTGGATTTGAAAACATTTGTTAGACTGCAATCAGTTGTAGAATTACTGTATTTTACCTGAAGCTTTTGACAGGAGTTTTTGCGACGGTTAGACTTACTGCTCCTGCTATTGTTATTAAGGTAGCAGTGTTTAGGACACCGATGATCTGAAAACCTTCTGCATTTTGTGAGTTCTTAGATGCAGAAGTTGTTTTTTGAGACCTTTAAAAAAGCGTCAAATGTACTTTTTTTTTTACTTTATATACTACGGAGACACAGCAACTTTGTATTAAATATTTGAGGTTACTGTGAGAATGGAATTCGCTAAACGTCTATTTATAAATTATAAGAGCATCAGGTAAAAATGTTATTTAAGATTATAATTGGTCAGGGTGCCACAATTTTTCAAAGGAGGGTTGAAATTATGCAAAATCAACTCAATCAGGTATACTATTAAAATCTTTATCAAGGCGGTTCAGCGATGCCGTTCATGTGGTTAATTTACGTTTATCAATACATAAAGGCAAAATTTTTTAATTAACAACGGGAATAATGCCGTTGGCAAAAACTCAAATTATTGTGCCCTGAAACACGTGTTAAAAGCCCAGAAATGCAGGTGCTGGAACTGATGCAGTAGTACTAGAAGTTGTTTTTTGCTCAAAATGTTCAAAAATTTTTCTACTTTTAGAATGTTTAGTTAGCTTTTGTAATTCGTTATTTTTATGTGCCTGACACTTTCAGTTCAATTTTATGATTTTCAAGCACTCATTTCTCTGTTATAGTGCAGTAAAAGTAATTCGTTCCTATCCAATGGATCACACTGGCATGTTTTTAAAAATACCATTAACATTTTAAGAGTTTAAGCAGTGCACTGCAGGTTTAATAGTTTTGTCAACAATTGAGTATTTTATATATGGTATACTATCTGGTTCAGGTGAGCATGTGATAGTGTCATTTTTCTCAATTAAAAATTTGATACTACGGTTTAGTTATGAGGCTCATTGAGATTTGCTTGTCGTTTGCT